GTGCGTTCGCATGCCTCCCCACCACCCATTTCGGCACACCCCTCACACGTTTCGTGGCCCCATAGGGAGCTCCACCGAAGGCCCCAGTGGCCCGCATGCCTCCCCACCACCCATTTCGGCACACCCCTCACACGTTTCGTGGCCCCATAGGGAGCTCCACCGAAGGCCCCAGTGGCAGGGTCCGCATGCCTCCCCACCACCCATTTCGGCACACCCCTCACACGTTTCGTGGCCCCATAGGGAGCTCCACCGAAGGCCCCAGTGGCCTGGTTCGTATGCCTCCCCAACACCCATTTCGGCACATCCCTCACACGTTTCGTGGCCCCATGGGGATTTCCACTGAAGGCCCCAGTGGGTTCCCATGCGCCCCCACACCCATTTCTGCACACCCCTCACACGTTTCGTGGCCCCACAGGGAGCTCCACCGAAGGCCCCAGTGGCTGCGTTCGCATGCCGCCCCCACACCAATTTCGGCACACCCCTCACACGTTTCGTGGCCCCACAGGGAGCTCCACCGAAGGCCCCAGTGGCTGCGTTCGCATGCCGCCCCCACACCAACTTCGGTGCACCCCTCACACGTTTCGTGGCCCCATAAGGAGCTCCACCGAAGGCCCCAGTGGCAACGTTCGCATGCCGCCCCCACACCCATTTCGGCACACCCCTCAAACGGTTCGTGGCCCCATAGGGAGATCCACCGAAGACGGTACTCACACCAGCATTACTCACAACTGCATATGGTTGGGTCCTTCGCCAGGCTAATTTTTTTTGGGGGGGGGTGGAAGGGGGAGGGGCGAGGCCGCAATCGTTTTTTTTTTTGGGGGGGGGGGAGGAGGGGGGGGGGGGGGGGGGGGGGGAAAGGCGTTGCGGCCGCAATCGTTTTTTTTTTTGTGGGGGGGGGAGGGGGAGGTGGGGGGAGTGGGAGGGGCAAGCTAGGTGCGCTCGCGTCATATCTGACATCTTACCCCTCCCTCCCATCCCTTACCATGGCGTAGATCCCCTCTCTACTCGCACAGTCGGATGTCGAGCAGGGCAATGATCCCGAAAGGGTACGCGATGCATTGTAGAGCACGGCATGGCATGCGTAGAAGAGCACCGCAAAGCGTAGTATCAACCTAGCATTGCATTGCATGCCGTGGCATGGCACGGGAAATGACGCCAGCGCTGCAGCGGGAGCACGAGTCGAAACGAGCGGAAGCGCGGAAATGAGGCCAGCGCTGCAGCGGGAGCACGATTCGGAACGAGCGGAAGCACGGAAATGAGGCCAGCGCTGCAGCGGGAGCACGATTCGGAACGAACGGGGCCCGAAAATGAGGCCGGCGCCTCAGCGAGAGCAGCATTTTGGAAAAAATGCAGGCGAAAACCCAACTCCGGGGAATCCTGTGTATATTTCACGGTGCGCGGGGATGGGGGGGGCTAATCCTTTCAAACCGTCATCAGGGGAAGAGGGAGAGTAGTATTCATATTGAGTAATTGTGGAGGGGGGAGGGAGAGCGGGGGGGGGGGGGAGGGGGGGAGGGGGAGGAGGGGGGGGGAGGCCGCAATCGTTTTTTGGGGGGGGAGGGGGGGGTGGGGCTGCGCTCGCCGGGTCTGCTTCCGGGTCGCGTTCACGGAGCGGTGTTTTGCTCAACGGATCTCTTCGGGCGGGTGGCAATGGAGGGTGGCCCGAAGGGGGGGTGAAGGGAGGGGCCCTACAGGGACCCTTGAGGGTCCCTGGGCTCCTTCTGGGCACCTGCCGGCTCCCAAAGGGGCGCCAAAGGGCTCATTTCGGGCCCTTTTCTCGGGCTATGCGGGAAAGGAGTTGACATCTATTCCGCCGCGGAAGGCGGCGGAAGTGCGGCGGAAGGTCGGCGGAAGTAAAACGAGGCCGCCTCCGCGGGCGGAAGGGCGGCGGAAGGCGGCGGAAGTGGAAGCAGCGCCCCCCAGAAATGAAAACGTTTTTGGGTGCAGGGTTTCTGAAAGAATCACCTGTGTGAGCTTGTGGGAAGGCGAGGCTGTCCGCGAACATCTGCTCATCCGACGCGCCCTCTGAACAGGCTGCTCGGAGTGCGAGGCGAGTTTTATCTCTCTCTCTCTCTCTCTCTCTCTATATATGTATATATATACATATTTAAGCAAAACGGTTGGGCTCATGCCGCGAGGGCGTCGGGCACCTTTCATCGACAGGCTCCGGAGCTTCGGGGGTGCGCCCGGGAGGGCCAACATGAGTTTCGGTCCACACTGGGAGCTCGACCACAGGAAACCTTCCACAAGAAACCTCACCCTGAGGCCCCAGGACGTCCACTGATTTTTTGGTGTGGGAGCGTCGCGCTCGCCATCGCGAAACCACCGAGGCCAAAGAAACCCAGGGCACCCTGGAGGCAAGCAGGGTGTTTCCTGGCATGGGTGTCCACTGTATCTGAGGCCCGGGACGTTTCATCCACTGCTTCGTTGTCCAACGCTTCCTTTGTGTCGGTTATCCGCCGAGTGGTTTCGCCCCCTTCGCGGGGCCGTTCCAATTTTGCCGTGGCAGCGTTGCGGTGAAGAAATGTCTGAGGGAGGTCGGCGCAAGCCTTACCACGATGCGCTTATGGCTTACTTCGTGGATGGCTATGTTGTGCACGCGAGGATGAAATAGGATGCTTCCGGTGTAAGCTGGACGCTGCCACGACGATGTCAGCATGTAATGCAGTAAGAGATTGAGAGTTGCCTGGGGGGCCCGTCACGCAGCAGCGCCCTGGACGATGATGAATTAGATCGGGTTGCAGGCGTCGTCGTCGTGACGTCGTCGTCGTCGTCATCGTCGTCGTCGTCGTCGTCGTTGAGATTATGTCGTCCACATTGTCCTAGCGGCAGAACATATGTTTAAATCGCATGTCCCCCTTTCTCAATCGCCATACAACGCTAGCCATACTGGTTCAAATTTTTAAGGCTTTTCTGAAAGCCGGAGGCAGCGCGCAGGTTGCATCACCATCCCGCCCGCCGCCAGCCTAGCGGCCGCAGTCGCGTCTGCTCCACCCCGACCTGTCAGGCGGCGCGACCACATGTTCCAGCTGCCCGCGGGCGCGGTCCTGCGCGCGGCGGCGGCTTACCAGGGACCGCTGGACTGCCCGAGGCCGCTGGGCGTCCAAGGAAGCCAGCCCATAGCCCACCCTGGTCGCCTCGGGGGTGCGCCGGGCATGCAGGCGCCCGCGGAGGCCCCCGCGACGGCAGGCCACCCCATGAGACCGCCAGGGCAGTTCGCGGGCCCTGCGGTGGCAGCCACTTCACCAGGCAGCCAGGAGGCGGGCGCGGCGGCCGACGCGCCAGCAGCCTGGCCGCACTTCCGCTGGGCGGTGGCTTGCCGCACAGGCGAGGGGCGTGCTGAGCCGGGCAGCAGCGGGACCTCCGAGGGCGCGGATGAGTTTAGCTTTGACATGGGCACGGCACGCCAGGATGGCACTATCACGAGTTGTTTGAGGGGCTTGGGCCAGGAGGACCCCAACCGCGTGATCCTCGTTCGGGGGGTCACATCCCTAGGCTGGACGTGCACGGAGGCGTTGACGCTGCATTTCTCAGGCTTTGGACCTGTCATGAAGGTGCTGACTACACAGTCAATGAAGAAGGTGCGGCCTGGCACATGTCGGATCCGACCAGGGGGTATTGCCTTCGTTGTCATGGAGGATGCCAGGAGCGTCCGGCGCATCTTGCAGGCAGGCCCGCAGCAGACGGTGGCCTCGAAGAGCATCTCTGTGCAGCCGTACACAGCCCCCCGGCCTGGGTCCGCTGCCGCCTCGTCGGGCGACGGCACCTCGACCTCGGCAGGCTCCGCCAGCTCCGCGAGGAGCTCCAGCGAGGGCCCTACTATGGCGATGCCAGCGCCCGCGAAAGTCCCCGCGACCGCCGGCCTTCCCGAAAGACCGCCGCGGCAGTTTGCATGCCCTGCGGGGGAAGCCAGCTCACCAGGCCGCCAGGAGGCGGCCGCGGCGGCCACCCCGCCAGCACCCCAGCTGGACTGCGGGCTGTGGGTCGCTTGCCGCGCAGGCGAGGGGCGTGCTGAGCGGGGCAGCAGCGGGACCTCCCAGGGCGCGCATGGGTGTAGCTCTGACATGGGCGCGGCACGCCAGGATGGCACTATCACGAGCTGCTTGAGGAGCTTGGGCCAGGAGGACCCCAACCGCGTGATCCTCGTTCGGGGGGTCACATCCCTGAGCTGGACGTGCACGGAGGCGCTGACGCTGCATTTCTCAGGCTTTGGACCTGTCATGAAGGTGCTGACTACGCAGTCAAGGAAGATGGTGCGGCCTGGCACATGTCGGATCCGACCAGGGGGTATTGCCTTCGTTGTCATGGAGGATGCCAGGAGCGTCCAGCGCATCTTGCAGGCAGGCCAGCAGCAGACGGTGGCCTCGAAGAGCATCTCTGTGCAGCCGTACACAGCCCCCCCGCCTGGGTCCCCTGCCGCCTCGTCAGGCGACGGCACCTCGACCTCGGCAGGTTCCGCCAGCTCCGCGAGGAGCTCCAGCGAGGGCCCTACCACTTGTGAATCAGCGAATCGGGCTCGGGTGCGGGAAGCTGCGAGAGGGGATGAGTCTCGAGAGGTCGGGGAAGCCGCTCGCGAATTGGCATTGGCAGGGGCGCGTGTCGGGTGAACCCTGAGGGTGGCAGAGCTGGCGGATCTCAGGGTGAGGCATGGAGCATCTAGAAGCGCTTCGCTTCAGCGTATACGCGCTGGTCAATTTTTTGTCGGGCCGTTCAGGGCCGAATCTGCAGCGTGGGCGGAGCCTTGGGACAGCGTTCTTCACTGGGGCGCTCAAGTACCAGTCCGCCGCTATACAACGTGTTCGCGTACTTAATTTAATTAGGGACTTGGTTCCCGCGGTCCAGCCAAGCATGTTACGTACAAGTCTGTCAGGGGCCAGCACCATGCAGCGTTGACTCGTTGGCGTTTCATACGCCGCTTTCCTACCGCACGTTTAGGCTATGCCTTCCTTATTCCTAACCATCCTGTGGTGTTGGGTCCTCGTTTTGAAGAGACGGCGTCCCGCGTTCCTCACCTCCTCCTCCTCGCCCCCCTCCCTCCTCCCATCATCATCATCATCATCATCATCATCATCATCATCATCATCATCATCATCATCATCATCATCATCATCATCATCATCATCATCATCATCATCATCATCATCATCATCATCATCATCATCATCATCGATTTCGGCATACCCCTCACACGTTTCGTGGCCCCATAGGGAGCTCCACCGAAGGCCCCAGTGGCAGGGTTCGCATGCCTCCCCACCACCCATTTCGGCACACCCCTCACACGTTTCGTGGCCCCATAGGGAGCTCCACCGAAGGCCCAGTGGCAGGGTCGCATGCCTCCCCACCACCCATTTCGGCACACCCCTCACACGTTTCGTGGCCCCATAGGGAGCTCCACCGAAGGCCCCAGTGGCAGGGTTCGCATGCCTCCCCACCACCCATTTCGGCACACCCCTCACACGTTTCGTGGCCCCATAGGGAGCTCCACCGAAGGCCCCAGTGGCTGCGTTCGCATGCCTCCCCACCACCCATTTCGGCACACCCCTCACACGTTTCGTGGCCCCATAGGGAGCTCCACCGAAGGCCCCAGTGGCTGCGTTCGCATGCTTCCCCACCACCCATTTCGGCACACCCCTCACACGTTTCGTGGCCCCATAGGGAGCTCCACCGACGGCCCCAGTGGCAGGGTTCGCATGCCTCCCCACCACCCATTCCGGCACACCCCTCACACGTTTCGTGGCCCCATAGGGAGCTCCACCGAAGGCCCCAGTGGCAGGGTTCGCATGCTTCCCCACCACCCATTTCGGCACACCCCTCACACGTTTCGTGGCCCCATAGGGAGCTCCACCGAAGGCCCAAGTGGCAGGGTTCGCATGCCTCCCTACCACCCATTTCGGCACACCCATCACACGTTTCGGGGCCCCATAGGGAGCTCCACCGAAGGCCCCAGTGGTTGCGTTCGCATGCCTCCCCACCACCCAGTTCGGCACACCCCTCACACGTTTCGTGGCCCCACAGGGAGGTCCACCGAAGGCCCCAGTGGCAGGGTTCGCATGCCTCCCCACCACCCATTTCGGCACACCCCTCACACGTTTCGTGGCCCCATAGGGAACTCCACCGAAGGCCCCAGTGGCAGGGTTCGCATGCTTCCCCACCACCCATTTCGGCACACCCCTCACACGTTTCGTGGCCCCATTTTTGCAAGCGCTGACCGTACAATGCGGTTTCTGCGGAGTTGCCGGGCGGCGGCCGCCTTCAGCCATCATGGAACGTCAGCCCCACGACGCGGCTGGTCACCTACCAGCCGGCACTGCCGTGGTGCACGAGGGGGCAGCCTCTGCGGCCTCCCTCGGCGCACCTGGCGAGTTCTAGTCTGACAGTAGGATGCGCCCCACACTTAAGTGAAGCTCTGCGGTCCACTGGCATATATAGGAACATCAAAATGTGAAGGATACGTGTCTAAACTGAGTTCAAGGCAGCCGGGCCACCCCAAGCAGAGCGAGCAACAACCCAGGAAGGGCCAGAAGCGAGGTGCGGTTATCGAAGCGCCCCTCAGCGCCGACCACGGCGCGGGGTCCACGCGGCCATTTCAAGCAGAGGTCAAACGAGGCGACGTGCAACTAACAGCAAGACCTCTGCGAGAATATGCGCGTGAGATACTAGGGGCTACTCGACTACTTCTTGGCCAGGAACAGGGCGCCCCTCCCTTTGCCCTTGCCCTTGACCCCAAAGGCTATCTTAGAGACTTCCTTGGCGTACTTGGATCTGGGGCCGTGGTCCTCGCCAACCGTGAGGCCCAACTCGCGCAGGAGGCTGAAGGCCTGGAAGATGCCCCACATCTCCAGGAACAGGGGCGCGCGATTGGCTGCAAAGATCCACTTGCAATAGGCTGTGTCTTCGATGCCGTCGGGGTCCTCCGTGCGCACGGTGAAGCACCGCGCGGCCGCGATTGGGGCCCGCTCCGCCGAGCCGCCCACGTGCTTGAGCCACGAGAGCGCCTTATCGGCGGCCGCGCGCGCCTCGGCCCCTTGCTCGCCCTCCACGCGCGCGAGCACGGCCTCCCTGTGCTTCTCCATGTGGTTCGAAAGCCGGAACATCAGGGAGTTGAGCATCGCCGTCGGTTTCTTCCCGTAAGGGTGGCCTTTGTAGTCCTCGCCCGCCTCGTGCGCGGCCTTGCGCGCGGTGGTTCCGGCCTCCTGGTACCGCTCTACCATGGCCGCCATCTCCGCCATCAGAGGGTGCTCCACGGGCCCGGTCAGCACCACGTTTTCGTCTCGCATCTTCTGGGCCCTCTCGTCGTCCAGGGAAATCGTCAACCTCGATAGAGCCTCCAGCAGCCGCAGCTCCTTGGCCCGATTGCCCTTCGGATGCGGCACCCGGTCGCCCTCCCCGTCGCCCTCGTCCTCGTCCACGCGCTTGGCCTTCCCCGCGTCCTTGCCCTTGGCCTTTTCGGAGCCCTTCCGGTCCTTCTGCCCTGGGAAGTCGGGGACCTGCTGCCTGCCGGCCGCGGCCGCGGCCGCGCCCCCTCCCTCGATCTTGGCCGTCTTGCGCGGCGGGGACGAGATCGCCTCGAACATGACCGCGTCCGAAGCTGGCGCGAGCGGCAGGTGCGTCGGGGGGTGCCAGACCCAGGCTCGAGCCGAGATCAACGCGGCGGGCAGCGCTGTCAAGAGCATCGGGGGCAGCCGGAACAGGGGCCACTGGGTACGTCTGCGGAGCGCTAGCGGGCCTTACAGGTGCAGCAGCCCCAGCCTTGCATCTGGACCGGAAGTGTCGAATGAGAGCATCGCGACGTGTAAACGACTTGTGGCACTGCGGACACTGGAGCTGGCCGAGAGGAACGGACTCGACCAACTTATGCTTCCGGGCGAGATGGATACTGAGCCCCCGGGGACCGCGACACAGCACGCCGCACTCAGGACACGGCGTATGGGGCTCCGGAGGGTCCTCGACCAAAGTAGAAGCAAACGCGAGCACGACATTGATGGAGTCGATCGGGATCCGAGCCAGCCACTCCAGCCAGGACACAGTAAGCTGATCCAACCCTCGATCCACACCAAGCCCCTGAGCAAGCCCGCGGAGAGCATCGTCCCCGCGATCGTGCACCAACTGCAGATCCGATAATACAATGCGTTGCCGCACCGTCATCTGGCCCTCGACCCGCCTCCCCTCGAACTCGAACCTCCCGAAGAAAGCGGCCCTGACAGCGACCGTGGGGTCGTACTCTAGGGTGCCGAAGAGGGGGTTGTTATCGTCGTCACGGAAAACGGGACTAACCACTTTGCGAATCCACTGCAGCCGCCTGAGTCTCAAGGAGGACTCGACCGTGGGGACATTGCATTTTTCACGCACTGTTTCAGATCGCACACGGGTGAGGTGCGCGGGCAAGCGTGCAAGGTGCCGAAGGCACCTGGTCTGGAACCTTTCCAAACGTAATAATGCAGCAGTGCTCCAGAACTTAGCCTCAAGAGCGTACATCAGTATAGAGCGGACAAGTGCTACCCACAGCGCCACCTTCGCCTGCAAGTCGAAGGCGTGGCACTTCCAGAAACGAGCAGAAAGGCGGTGGTGTGCTGTGGATGCGGACTTCACCCTGGCCTTGGCCTCCACCGTCGGCGTCCCAGAAATCGCAGTGCGGGAGCCGAGGTACTTCGCGTGTTCACGGACAGTGATGCGCGCGCCCTCGACTTGCACAAACAGCTGGCCTTTCTTGACCTTCCTGTTAAAGGCCTTCGCGCCAGCACCAAAGCACCGGGCAGTAACCTCCAGCTTGGAATAATTGACCACGTAACGTTGCTCAACCAAGACCTGCGCGATCAGGGTGAGGAATGCATCCACGCAGGCGAAGTCGGGGAACAATTCCATGGCGCTCAAGTCGTCCATGAAGACGGTCTCTCCGACTTTGATGTCCACGCAATCCGAGCTCAGCCCTAAGAAGTTGTCAAGCTGCGGACTCAGCTTGGCCACGAACTGGTAGTTGTCCTCGCCCCTCGCGCCCTGGATGAGCCGCAAAGAGACGTCATACAATATAACGAAACATATGGGCCCCTCCACCGACCCTTGACGCACGCCCTGGTGGACCGAGAGGCGCCGCACCACGCGGCCTGTGCGAGTATCCTTCAACAAGATGTAAGTGCCGTTGTGGGCCTCCTCCAGTAGTAGGCGGAGACGCACGCGATCAGACATAGAAGCAAGTGTGTCCCAGAGCATTTCACGGTCGACATTGTCGAACGCCTTGCCTAGGTCAAAGAGCGCCTGCACCAATATCCAGCGAGACCGGGCATGGCTACGGCGCTTGTTGGCGGCGCAGGTGACACGATTGATAATCTCCTCCACAATGCCGATGGCGTCCCGCGTTGAGCGCCAAGGGAGGCCTCCAAACTGCACCGGCAACAAGGCGGAGGCGAAATCCAACATCGCAGGCTCCAGGAAGGTTTTGAGGAGCCGTTTCCCCCAGTGGCTGAGCAAAGACAAGTACCTGTAGTCGTTCTCAGGGTCCGAACCGTCCCCTTTGCCAGGCTTGCGAAGGGAGGCCATTTCACCATCCCGAAAAGAGGCAGGGAACGACACCAACGCACCCATTCCAGTGGACAGCTCCGCGAGGGGCTCCGCGATGATCTCGGATGCGAGCTTGAACAACTCACTGACTGCTCCCCGCAACGGCCCGCCAGGGCGTGCCGCAGAGATCGATAACCCGGCCTTGAAATTCGGCATCTGGTTGATCATAGACTCGATCATGGATGGTGTGAAGACGTCGTAGTCGTCCAAGTCGTCGGCACAATTAGAAGCAGAGGTCAAGACAGGGCGCCTCGAACTGACGCCAAACCTCTGCATCAATCCCTGCTCGGTTAATATATCCTCTGGGGCTCCAGGGTCTGGCAGATGAAGGCCGACGCGCGTGGCTCCGTAGATCTTTCCCAAGGCTTGTTCCCGGGCTGACAGTTCTTGGCGCGCAGACCAGCAGAGCTCCCCATCCAAGCGAATGGAAACAGCCGAGGCCTTG